CTCCACATTTACTCTGCTCCTTCTGCTTATTACACCATGATTTCTTTCAATGTAAAATTAAAACCATTTGTTCAGTTCCTGTTGTCTCCTTCATCCAACTTCTGTTCTGGTCAGCTATCAAGATATTACAGAAAAGTCTTTGTATTCTCTTTTTTTTACCCTCTCAATAGACCAGATGGTGATCGTTTAATGAACAGATTGCAATCCAAATTCTTTATGAACATTACCCACTATTGTTCCTACCTCAATCATTTTTAAAAGATCCATATGATTTTTACCCTAAAGCTGCTTTTCAGAATGTTCTGCATGTTGGCCCCTCTACCATCAACCTTGTGCGTACAAAGAGCAATGATGTGACATTCAACAAAGATGGTGCAATGCATGTGTTGGAATCTGTGAAGTGTTCACATATAACATACATCATTCACATCCCTGCTAAACTTAACAGGCTCCTTGTTTTGAAGTGTATTGACCTCAATTCTCTCTGGAACCTTACTACTTGACAACGAGTGATATCCTCATAGGTATATCCCAGCTCATCTTCAACCCTTCAATTCTGATAAACAGCCTCTCCTCATGTGATTAAAAGATGACTCATTTGATACCACATCAGTGCTCTTTGAAAGTCTCCTAGAAAATCCCTTTGCCTTTCTGATTTTCTCCCTTCCTTCAAAAACCCAAACCCATGTCTCAAGCTCTGCTTTTAGCCCCCAAGCTGTGCCAAATCCTCTTCCACTCCATGTTTTTGGAGTGTAAAGCTTGAAGAAATATTGTTTTACAACAGCGCAGTGTCATTACCAGCATTCTGAGCAAGAATGGTCAGTGAGATGTTTAAAGTCAAGCCCGATCCCTCATCCATCCTCATCCTAACTTTAAAGTCAGGTCCCTCATCTGTAGATTTTCAGTATTTCTGATCATTTCTTTGTATAATTTCACAATAGAAAGGAGACTATACAAAAGGGAAAAAACAAATTCTTGTGGCAAAATTACAGAATACATAAGAACATAAGAAGTAGGAGCAGAAGTTGGCCATCTGGCCCTGGAGTCTGCGTCACCATTCAATAAGATCATGGTTGATCTTTTCATGGACTCAGCTCCACTTACCCGCCCGCTTAAAGCATAACACTTAATTCCCTAACTGTTCAAAAATTTATCTATTGTTGCCTTAAAAACATTCAACAAGGTAGTCTCAACTGCTTCACTGGGCAGGGAATTCCACAGAATCACAACCCTTTGGGTGAAGAAGTTCCTCCTCAACTCAGTCCTACATCTGCTCCCCCATATTTTGAGGCTATGCCCCCAGTTCTAGATTTACTCGCTAATGGAAACAACCTCCCTGCTTCTATCTCATCTATTGCCTTCATAATTATATATGTTTCTATAAGATCCCCCTTCATTCTTTTAAATTCAATGAGTACAGTCTAGTCTACTCAATCTCTCCTCATAAGCAAACCCTCACAGCTCCGGAGGCAACCTAGTTAACCCTCTCTTCACTCCCTCCAGTGCCTGTACATCCTTTCTCAAGTTAGCAGACCAAATCTGTACACAGTATTCCAGGTATGGCCTCACCAGTAATCTATACAGCTCCAGCATTACCTCCCTACTCTTAAACTCCATTTCTCTACGTGCTGTACCTGCAAACCAACATTTTGTGATAGAAAAATCATGTAAGGATGATAGGAGGGTCATGCAACAGTTGGATGTTGGGAATGTTTTTAAATGATTCTGAGATTGTTACATCTTGTCACAACTAATGTTCAATTGCTGCTTTAATGTATAAACTGGGGGAAATGGTTGAAACCAGTTGCTAGGTAATAGATGCTGATTCCTCAAGCAAATCTGTAAATCTTTACCAAGCTGCATTGTACGAAAGCCACTAGAACTGTTTAAAAGTACGTTCATCAGGATTTTCTAATTCTCAGTTGGGAGATGCTGTATTGCTCATAAAATAAAGGTTGACTATTTGTTTTCTTGTGCTAGGCAATACCACATCTACACTGAAAAGAAAACTACAAGCAGGCCCAACAACTTGGATAGATGTCGAATTAAGTCCTTAAAGCATAATATTGTGAGTGAATGGAGACTCGTTATTTCTAGAATGTCTTGAACCTACTTATTAATTCTTGAATGGATTTGCTCAGTTGGGAGGAGTTTGTTCTGTCTTTTGCTTTCAGTCACTGACATATCATCACAAGGTGAAATGTCGGTGCTGGGGACGCATGATTGGATCAGTGTTGGTGGAGGCAATATTTGGTCAGTATTTAGCCAGAGACAGAACTGCAGTTCTGCATTGGGCCAGTGACAGTAATAAGTGACTCCATACTTAACCCATGTCAGTACAGAGCATTCATATTTATTAATAAAAACCAAAAGAACTGTGGATGCTGTAAATCAGGAACAAAAACAAAGTTGCTGGAAAAGCTCAGCAGGTCTGGCATCATCTGTGAAGGAGAAAACAGAGTTAACGTTTCAGGTCCGGTGACTAGTTCTGAGGAAGGGTCACCGGACCCGAAACGTTAACTCTGTTTTCTCCTTCACAGATGCTGCCAGACCTGCTGAGTTTTCCTAGTAACTTTGTTTTTGTTCATATTTATTAATGGCAGGGATTTGCAATTGTGCCAGTGATAGTGTAAGGGAATCTACACTGACAGTGCTGGGAATACCTGCCAGACTGTTATCAGAATCAGGATTCCCCACTGGGCCAGTGTCAGTGCTGGGAATTCACACTGGGCCAGTGTTAGTACCAGGATTCCCCACTGGGCCAGTGTCAATTCTGGGATTTCCTGGGATCCCTACTGTACCAGTGTATGTCTACAAAGACATTGCAACAGGGAATATGTTATTTATGTGACATGACAATTTCATGTTTAATTGAATCCTTTTACGCACCCAGGCCCAGTTCTCTGTACTTTAATTATCCTGAAGATATTCTCATTTTGAATATTTTGTATTTTATATTTTCCAGATTGTATATGCAAAACAGGCACTTAGAATTATGAAGAGATTGAACAAGAAAAACGTAAAGGACCAACTGAGTGAAGCACATAAACTACTGGAGAAAATCAAAAAGCGAGTGGAGGAGGTGAGATCACTATCAGGGTCAATTACGAACTGCCTGAGTATTTCAGTAGGTTGTCCAGAAATTTGTATACTGGGAATTAATGTACAACTATTTCATTTCTCTCCAGTAGTTCAATGGGCTGTTAACTTGTAGTTGAATATTATGTAGGCTTCCTGGTGAGTGAGGAATTTCATTCAGCAATCCTACAGCATCGTCCAGTAGCTTTCCTCATGGAAATGCTCATATGTCTTTGAGCAGCAATTGGCTGACCTCTGTCTCTGTGGGACTAATGTACATGCTCCTCTTGTTCTTCTGGCTGCATACTGCTCATCCCTCATTCACTATGTGCATATCCCACCTCTAATCTGCTCTATAAGGTACTCAGTGTCAGTATGTGAGCTGGTGACCGTGAAAGTGAAATTTCAAAGTGAGTTTTACTGTAACTGTCTGCTTGTTCTTCATCCATTACCTGAACATGTTGCTTTACTTGGGTACCTGAAAGACACAGGAGTAGAATTGTGGTGAGAGGAAAGGGGAAAGTGAGTGGCACATGTTTATCTCATCTGCAGCTTGTAAACCTGAAAAAATTATAGGATGCGGATTCTGACCTTTTCAATGGATTCAGCTTCGTCACTGACCACAACCTCAGCAATGGCTGATCAGTAACGGTCTACACTGTCTCCTCAAACAGGGAGAAGAGACCCTCAGACCATAAAACATAGGAGCAGAATTAGGTTGCTCTAGAGTCATAGAGTCATACAGGACAGAACCAGGCCCTTCGACCCTATCATCCATGCCAACTAGGTTTCCTGAACTGAACTAGTCCCATTTGCCTGCATTTGGCCCATATCCCTCTAAACACCTCCTGTCCATATACCTGTCCGGTTGGCTCGCTGAGCTGGTTTGTTGTTTTGCAGACGTTTCGTTACCATGCTTAGTAACATCCTCAGTGCGGCCTCCGATGAAGGGTCGGTGTGTTTTCCCACCTGGTTTTTAAACTCTGGGGTCCATTGAGATGGATTGCCTCATTTCCTGTCCAAATATCTTTTATATGTTGCATTTGTACTCGCCTCTACCACTTCCTCTGGCAGCTCATTCCAAATATGCATCATCCTCTTTGTGAAAAAGTTGCCCCTCAGATCCCTTTTATATCTTTCCCCTCTCACCTTAAACCTACACCCTCTAGTTATGTACTCCCAACCTTGAGGAAAAGACCTTGGTTATTCTTCCTGTCCATGCCCCTCATGTTTTTATAAACGTCCATAAGGTCAACTGTCAGTCTTCTACAATCCAGAGAAAAAAGTCCCAGCCTATCCATCCTCTCCTTATAACTCAAACTTTCCAGTCTCAGTAACGTCCTTGTAAATCTTTTTTCACCCTTTCCAGTTTAATAAGATCCTTCCTGTAGCAGGGTGACCAGAATTATATGTAGTTCTCCAAATGAGGCCTTAACAGTGTCTTGTACAGCTGTAACATGATGTCCCAATGCTCTGTTGGATGAAGGCAAACATGCCAAATGCCATCTTCACAGCCCTGTCTACCTGTGGAACCACTTGCAAGGAACTATGTACCTGCATCCCTAGGTCTCTCTGTTTGACAACACTAACCAGGGTCCGACATTAACTGTGTAAGTCCTACCTTGGTTTGTTTTACCAAAATACAACATCTCCCATTTATCTGAATTAAACTCCATCTGCCATTGCTTCTCCCACTGGCCCAGATGATCAAGATCCTGTAGTACACTCAGATAATTTTCTTCACTGCTCACCATACCACCAAGTTTGGTGTCATCCATGAACTTACGAGCCATGCCTCCTATATTCTTATCCAAGTAATTTATATAAATGACGAAAAGCGGTGGACCCAGCACCGATCCTTGTGGCACACTGCTGGTTACAGGCCTCCAGTGTGAGCAACGACCCTCTATGACCACCCTCTGTCTCCTACTGTCAAGTCAATTTTGTATCTAATTGTCTAGCTCTCCCTGGATCCCATATGATTTAATTTTACTAACCAGTCTACAATGCGGAACCTTGTTAAAGGCCTGGCTAAAGTGTATGTAAACAATATCTACTGTTCTGCCTTCATCTATCTTCTTGGTCATCTCTTCAAAAAACTCAATCAAGTTAGTGAGACAGAGCCATGCTCACTGTCCATAATCAGTCCTTGCCTTTCCAAATGGATGTAGATCCGATTTTTCAGCATCCTCTCCAACAACCTACCTACCACTGACATTAGGCTCAGTGGTCTATAGTTCCCTGGCTTTGCCTTGTAGCCTTTCTTAAATAATGGCACAATATTAGCCACTGTCCAGTCTTCTGACGCTTCACACGTGGCTTTTGTTGATACAAACATGCCCACTAGGGGCACTGCAATTTCTTCCCTAGCTTCCCACATTCAGCCCATCAAGTCTACTCCACTATTCAGTCAGGGCTGATATTGTTTCTCAACCCCATTCTTCTGCCTTCTCTCTGTCACTCTTGAACCCTTACCAATAAAGACTCTTATCTATCTCTGTCTTAAATATAGTCGATGGCTTGGCCTCTGTAGGCTCCTGCAGCAATGACTTTCACAGATTAACCATCCTCTGGGCAAAGAAGTTCCTCCTCATCTCAGTTCTAAAAGGTCGTCCCTTACTCTGACGATGTGCCCTTGGGTCCTAGTCCCTCTTACTAGTGGAAACATTTTCTCCACATCCACTCTATCTAGGCCATTCAGTAGAACATAGAACATAAAACAGTACAGCACAGTACCGGCCCTTTGGCCCATAATGTTGTGCCGACTGTTATTCTACTCTAAGATCAAACTACCCTGCATACCCTACATTTTACTATCATCCATGTGCCTATCCAAGAGTCGTTTAAAAGTCCCTAAAGTATCTGACTACACTACCACTTCTGACAGTGCAATCCACACACCCACCACTCTCTGTGTAATGAACCTACCTCTGACATCTCCCCTATACCTTCCTCCCATCACGTTAAAATTACGCCACCTCATAATAGTCATTTCCGCCCTGGGAAAAAGTCTCTGGCTATCCACTCTATCTATGCCTCTCATCATCTTGTACCCCTCTATCAAGTCACCTCTCATCCTGCTTTGTTCCAATGAAAAAAGCCCTAGCTCCCTCAACCTTTCCTCATAAAACCTGCCCTCCAGTCCAGGCAGCATCCCGGTAAATATCCTCTGCACCCTCTCTAAAGCTTCCACATCTTTCCTATAATGAGGTGACCAGAACTGAACACAGTATCCCAAGTGTGGTCTAACCAGGGTTTTATAGAGCTGCAGTATTACCTCGTGGCTCTTAAACTCAATTCCCCTGCCAATGAACGCCAACACACCATACGCCTTCTTTACAACCCTATCAACTTGGGTAGCAACTTTGAGGGAGCTATGGATGTGGACCCCAAGATCCCTCTGTTCTTCCACACTGCCAAGAATCCTGCCATTAACCCTGTATTCTGCATTCAAGTTCGACCTTCCAAAATGAATCACTTCACACTTTTCTGGGTTGAATTCCATCTGCCACTTTGCCCAGTTCTACATCCTGTCAACGTCCCGTTGCAACCTACAACAGCCCTCCACACTTTCCACAACTCCGTCACCCTTCGTGTCATTGGCAAATATACTAACCCACTCTTCCACTTCCTCATCCAAGTCATTTATAAAGATCACAAAGAGCCGTGGTCCCAGAACAGATTCCTGCGGAACACCACTGGTCACTGAGCTCCAGGCTGAATACTTTCCATCTACTACCACCCTCTGTCTTCTATTGGACAGCCCGTTTTGTATCCAGACAGCCAAATTTCCCTGAATCCCATGCCTCCTTACTTTTTGAAAGAGCCTACCATGTGGAACCTTATCAAATGCCTTGGTAAAATCCATATACACCACATCCACTGCTCTACCTTCATCAAGCCAGGCAGCATCAGAGGACCAAGACCTGACCCAAAATGTCAGCTTTCCTGCTGCTCTGATGCTGCCTGACCTGTTGTGCTCCTCCAGCTCCACACTGTGTTATCTCTGACTTCCGCATTTGTAGTTCTTACTATCTCTACCTTCATCAATGTGTTTGGTCACATCCTCAAAGAATTCCATAAGGCTTGTGAGGCATGACCTGCCCCTCACAAAGCCATGCTGACTATTTCTAATCAAACTGTGCTTTTCCATATAATCATAAATACTATCTCTCAGAATCCTCTCCAATTATTTGCCCACCACAGAAGTAAGACTGACTGGTCTGTAATTAATCAGGATTATCCCTATTCCCTTTCTTGAACAAGGGAATGACATTTGCCACCCACAAATCATCTGGTACTACTCCAGTGGACAGTAAGGATGCAAAGATCATTGCCAAAGGGGCAGCAATCTCTTCTCTCGCGTCCCGTAGAAACCTTGGGTATATTCCGTCTGGCCTAGGGGATTTATCTGTTCTCATGTTTTTCAAAATTTCTAGCACATCCTCCTTCCTAATATCAACCTGTTCGAGCATATCTGCCTGTTTCATGCTGTCCTCACAAACGTCAAGGTCCCTCTCACTGGTGAATACTGAAGCAAAATATTCATTAAGGACTTCCCCTACCTCCTCCAACTCCATGCACAAGTTCCCTCCACTATCCCTGATCGTCCCTACCCTCACTCTGGTTATCCTCTTGTTCCTCACATAATTATAGAACACCTTGGGGTTTTCCTTAATACTACCTGCCAAAGCTTTCCCATACCCTCTTCTAGCCCTAAGTCCATTCTTCAGTTCCTTCCTGGCTACCTTGTAGACCTCCGGAGCCCTGTCCGATCCTTGCTTCCTCAACCTTAAGTAAGTTTCCTTCTTCCTCTTGACCAGGTGTTCCACATGTCTTGTCATCCAAGGTTCCTTCACCTTACCATCCTTTCCTTGCCTCAGTGGGACAAACCTATCCAGAACTTGTAGCAACTGCTCCCTAAAGAACCTCCACATTTCTGTCGTGCATTTCCCTGAGAACATCTGATCCCAATTGGTGCTCCATAGTTCTTGCCTAATAGTGTTGTAATTCCCTCTCCCACAATTAAATACTTTCCCATACCTTCTGCTCCTGTCCCTCTCCATGACTATAGTAAAGGTCAGGGAGTTGTGATCGCTATCACTGAAATGCTCTCCCACCGAGAGATCTGACACCTGACCTGGTTTTTTGCCAAGCACCAAACCCAATATGGCCTCCCCTCTAGTCGGCCTATCTACATACTGAGTCAGAAATCCTTCCTGGACACACCTGACAAAATCTGCTCCATCCAAACTATTTGCACTTAGGAGGTTCCAGTCGATATTAGGGAAGTTGAATTCACCTATGACAACAACCCTATTACTTCTGCAACTTGCCAAAATCTTCCTGCCAATGTGTTCCTCAGTGTCTCTATTGCTAATGGGGGGGTCTATAGAAAACTCCCAATAAAGTGAGGCTTCTTTCCTGTTTCTGACTTCCACCCATACTGATTCAGTAGACAAACCCTCCTCCATGACCTCCCTTTCTGCAGCTGTGATGCCACCCCTGATTAGCAATGCCACTCCCCCAACTTTTTTACCTCTGTCCCAGTATTCGGTAAGTTTCAATCAGATCCTCCCTCATCCTTCTAAACTCCATCGAGTGCAGACCCAATGTCCTCAACCACACCTCATATGACAAGTTATGACATCTCCAGGATTGTTCTTGTAAACCTTCTCTGGAACTCCTCCAATGCTAGTCCATCCTTCCTTAGATATGGGGCCCAAAACTGCTCTCCATATTGCAAATGCGGTCTGACCACAGTCTTATACAGCGTCAGCAGTACATCTCTGCTCATGTATTCTAGCCCTCTCGAAATGAATGCTAACATTAAGGTTTTGGAGTAGATCTGTAGCTCGGGTTGTGGGTGTTGAGGTTGGTTTGCTCGCCGAGCTGGTTGGTTGTTCCGCAGATGTTTCATTACCGTGCTTGGTAACATCTTCAGTGCAGCCTCTTATGAAGCGTCGGTGTGTTTTCCCGCCTGGTTTTTAAACTCTGGGATCCGTTGCGATGGATTGCCTCACTTCCGGGTTTCCTCCGTAGTGGAATGTGTATGGGGTTGAGTTCAATGTGTTTATTAATAGCGTGCTTCGTGGAGTGCCATGCTTCCAGGAATTCTCGTGCTTGTCTCTGCCTATCCTGTCCCAGGATCTTGGTGTTGTTCCAGTCGAAGTGATGCCCAGTGGTCGTGGAAGTCTTGTGGTGAGTTCTGAAGTGTTCCTGATGTAGGGTAGTGTGATGAGTGTGTCGGGGCGTGTAGAATCTTTCTGATGCTGTTCCTGTAGGCATCTCCTGACCCAGTTCTTTGGATATCCATTATCCATGAGCACTTGGAAGAGGTATTCCTCCTCCTCTTGGCATAGTTCCATGTTGCTGCAGTGTGTTGTTGCCCTTTTTTAGCGAACACTATTTAAAAGAGGAAGAAGACTACCTGTTCCAAGTGTTCAAGGATAATGGATGTCCAAAGACCGCTGGGCATCAGAGTGGCACACAAACCCACATCAACCCTATGACAAGTGCTCATCTGAACTAAAGACCCACTCCTTGCCATGGACAGGACCAATGTCATCTACAAGATCCCCTGCAGAGACTGCGAGAAACACTACATCGGACAAACAGGAAGGAAACTAACAACAAGAGTACATGAACACCAACTTGCTACAAAAAGACATGACCAATACTCACTCATCTCAATCCACATGGACAAGGAGAACCACGACTTCGACTGGGACAACACCAAGATCCTGGGATAGGCTAGGCAGAGACAAGCACGAGAATTCCTGGAAGCATGGCACTCCACGAAGCACGCTATTAATAAACACATTGGACTCGACCCCATATATATTCCACTACGGAGGAAACCCAGAAGTGAGGCAATCTATTGCAATGGACCCCAGAGTTTAAAAACCAGGAGGGAAAACACACCGACGCTTCATGAGAGGCTGCACTGAGGATGTTACCAAGCACAGTAACGAAATGTCTGTGGAACAACAAACCAGCTCGGCGAGCCAACCTACCTCGAGAATGCTAACATTGCATTGTTAACCTTAAGAAGTAAGATTCCCAAGTCCCTTTGTGTTCAGATTTCCAAAATCTTTCCCTATTTATAAAATAGTCTACACCTCTATTCTTCCTACTAAAGTCCATAACCTCACACTTCCCCACATTGTATTCCATCTGTCACTTTCTTTGCCCGCTCCCCTCGCCTATCCTAGCCCTTCTGTAGCCTCCTCACTTTCTCAATACTACCTGTCCCTCCACCTATTTTTGTGACATCTGCAAACTTAGCAACAATGCCCTCAGTTCCTTTGTCCACATTGTTAATGTATAACATGAATAGCTGTGGTTCCCAAAACTGACCCCTGTGGAACTCCACTAGTGACCATCTGCCATCCTGAAAAAGACCCCTTTATCCCCACGCTCTGCCTTCTGCCAGTCTGCCAATCCTCTATCCATGCCAGTACCTTGCCCCAGACACCATTGCTTTTAGCTTACTTAGCAGCGTCCTGTGCAACACCTTGTCAAAGACCTTGTGAAAATACAAATAGATCATGTCCACTGACTCTCCTTTGTCTAACTTGCTCATTACCAACTCAAAAGAATTCTAATAGATTTGTCAGATGTGACCTCCCCTTGATGAAGCTGTGCTGCCTCTTTTACCATGCACTGTGCAATCTCAGTCTTAATAGTGGACTCTAAAATCTTACCAATGACCGAGGTCAGGTTAACATAGAACATAGAACATTACAGCGCAGTACAGGCCCTTCGGCCCTCGATGTTGCGCCGACCTGTGAAACCAATCTGAAGCCCATCTAACCTAAACTATTCCATTATCATCCATATGTTTATCCAATGACCATTTAAATGCCCTTAAAGTGGGCAAGTCTACTATTTTTGCAGGCAGGGCATTCCACGCCCTTACTACTACCAGCCAAAAGTTTCCTCTCTTCTGCCTCCCATCCTTAACCAGGAGTATTACATTCGTCAATTTCCAGTCCTCTGACACCGCACCCCCACCGCGACTCCAGTGTGATTCCTGAAAGGTCACCACCAATGCTTGCACAATCTCCTTGTCTATCTCCTTCAAACATTTGGGAAATAATCCATCTGGTCCAGGTGATTTATGCACCCTCGATCTTTTAGCTTTCCTGGCACCTTCTCCTTAGTCATGCCCAGGCTCTCTGAAGTTCTGGTATACCGTTGGTGTCTTCCACTGTGAAAACTGATGCAAAGTATCTGTTCATTTCCTCCAACATTGCTTTGTTCCCTATTACTACTCCTGCAGTCTCATTTTCCAGTAGTCCATTGTCCACTCTTACCTTTTAGATATATAAAAAGAAGTGCGTGGATGGCCTGTCTGATTAGTTTCTGCCTGCCTCTGATTAAATGATGCTTTTTTCTGTAAGATCAAAGGAAGAGGAAAGTGTGATACACTGTGTTTGGGTCACGTGGCTGTCATAGTTGTATTGTTGACAATGAGTACAATATAGTGATCAGGTTTGGAGCATTGCTACATACGTGAATGCAAGGTGAAGGTATGAAAGTAGGGATTTGAATCCTGATTGATAAAGATTCTGGATAGATGAGAGCTGGGGTTGTGATGTTGAGTAGTATCTGAGGTTACAGATGCAGTTTATGGAATGTGACACTTGAAGATGACTGTGACCATTCTTGGGAAGTCACTAAACTTCTTGTGGTGATGCATTTAGTTCCCTAGGGCTAAACAAAAAAGAAACTAACCATCATCCCTTGACATTCAATGGTCTTACCATCACTAAATTGTCCACTGTCAACTTCCTGGGTCGTACCATTGACAGGAAACTGAACTGAACTAACCATATAAGTACAAGGGCAGGTCAGAGGCTAGGACTCCTGCACTGACTAACTTACCTTCTGACTCCCCAAAACTTGTTCTCTGTCTGTCTGCAAGCTCCCCTCTAAGATCTCACCATCCTGACTTGGAAATATGTTGCCATTCCATCAATGTCACTGGGTCAACATCCTGGAATTCCCTCCCTAAGGACATTTTGAAGAGTATCTGCAGCAGGTGGACTGCAGTGGTTCAAGAAGGCAGCTCACCACCACCTTGTCAAGGTCAACTAGGGATGGGCAAGAAATGCTGGGCCCAGTCAGCGACACCCACATTCTATGAATTTATAAATTCCTAACAGTATGAGGTCTAGAATATTTCTGATAGCCTGTATTTTAGAGTATTCTCAGTCTGTGTGATCTAGATTATTCACAATTATCTGTAATCTAGAACATTCCTAATAATGACTAGTTTGAAAAATTCCTGATAGTCTGTGGTATGTAATGTCGCTGACAGTTTGTAGCCCTGAACAGTCCTGAACATTCTTGGCAACATATTATTGAGAATATTCTGGAAACTGTGTAGCCCAGAACATTCCTGACACTGTGGTCTAGCAAAATCCTGGTAGTGCCTAGTCTGGAACCTTCCTGCTGGTGTATATTCAAAAACATTCCTGATCTTTGGGAATTTGTTTCAGATTCCAGCTCAGGGAGACTAGGTTTCTTGAATTACCAATCACAGAGTTGATTCCTCAGTGGCTATAATCCCTTTGGAATATTCTGAAATAATTTCTATGATTTTTCCTCAGCCACAAACACCAATCCCGGATGTCTTCATCTGGATGCTGAGCAATGGCAAGCGTTTAGCGTATGCGCGTATTCCTGCCCGACAGATTCTGTACTCAGTGGCAGAGGAAGAGAAGGGAAAAGACTGTGGGAAAATTCAGACCATCATCATGAAGGTAAGCAATGATGGGGGAAGGGAGAGATGCAACGAGACCTGGGTGTCCTCATATACCAGTCGCTGGAGTTAAGTATGCAGGTGTAGCAGGCAGTGAAGAAGGCAAATGGTGTGTTGGATTTCATTGCAAGAGGATTCAAGTACAGAAAAGGGATGTCTTGCTACAACTGTGTCCCACAGAGTGACTAATTTTTGAACTTTTGTACCATTTTCCCATGAATTGTAAGTAATAAATATTTATGAAAAGATATCAGTCATGGAATAAGACCTCACACCCAGTGGGTTGGAGCAGTTTGATTGTGAACAGATGGAGATTAGAGACAAAGTGACTCAGGCATTGGCTGTCAAAGGGCTATGCCTACATCTTGGGCTATGAAGCAGCTCTTGCTTAGCAATCACCTGCTCACTTAACTCGATGCTGAGTTGGTCCTCGAGGACCACTCAGCTCGTCACCTCATACAACTTTGGTCCAAACATGGACAAAAAGTTGATCTCAAGAGGTGAAGTGAGAGTAGCTTGACATTAAGGCAGAATTAAATTTAAAAAGTAAATTTACAGTCTTTTTTATTAATAAAACATTCGAAGGGATATGGGGAAACTGTGAGAAACCTAAGCCTGTTCCAACATTCAATGAGAACAGGGGTTAAGTACTGTCCTCCATAAAACTGCCTTTGCCTGATGTCTTTCATTACCTTAACAAAAATTAATCAACCTCAGATTTAAAATTAACTGTTAATATATCATAAATTGTTGTTTGCAGAAGTGATTTACAAATTTCTACTTTTGTTAATATGATATTTTCTTAATTCAATCCTGAAATTTCTTGACTATTAATTATGGCCCTCAAATCTCAGAAGTTCCAATAAACAGAATTAGATTCTGTCTACCCTATCAGTTCCCCTCAATGTCTTAAAACTTTGATCAACATGTACATGAGAACATGAGTAGGAAACTTGGCCCGTTGACCATGCTTTGCCATTCAATAGGATCATGGCTGATTTGATTGTCACCTCAACTTCACATTCCCACCCTACCCCTGATAACGTTTAATTGTTTTACAATCTACTTCTGCCATAAAACTACTTAATGACGCTGCCTCCACTGCTGCCTGGGCAAGAGAGTACCACAAACTCATGATCCTTAGAAAGAAATATTTTCTCTTTATCTCCATCTTAAATTGAAAACAATTTATTTTTCAACTGTATCCTCTGTTCTTGTCTGCCCTGCAAGGGGAAACATCCTTTCAGCATCCAAACTGTCAAGTATTCTCAGAATGTTATAGATGTCAATAAGCTCGTGCAGGCCCAATCTTTCTTCATTTGTTAATCCCCCTATCTCACACATCAGTCACCAGAAGTGAACTGTTTCAAAAGCATTTAAATCCCTTTTTAAACAAAGAGACTAAAGCTGCACACAGTATTCTGGATGTGGTCTCAGTAATACCATATACAACTGCAACAAAACATTTCAATCTTTTACATTTGTTTCTCTCACAATAAAAATCACCTCATTTGCATTGCTATCACTTGCTGTACCTGTGTACTAATTTTATGTGATTCATCTATTAGGAGACACAACCCTTTTGGTGACTGGGACATACTGCTCTAAGACCTAGTTGTCTAAATACTTCACGAACTAATTTTCAAGGCTGCTTTTGCCAATCTGATTCATTCAATCAATATGTTTATTAAAATAAATATGCTCACTAGAAGAAGAGGCTCTACAAATATCCCCATCCTCAATAATGGGAGAGCCCAGCACACCAGTGCAAAAAATAAGGCTGAAGTATTCACAGCAATCTTCAGCCAGAAGTGCTAAGTGAATGATCCATCTCAGCCTCCTCCAAAGGTCCCAGCATCACAGATACCAGTCTTTAACCAAACTGATTTACTCCACATGATATTAAGAAACAGTTGAAGGCATTGGATTCCACCAATGGTGTAGGCCCTTATAACATTCTGGCAATAGTGCTAAAGACTTGTGCTCCAGAACTTGCCACACCCTAGCCAAACTCTTCCAGGATAACTACAATACTGGCATCTACCCGACAAAATTGAAAATTTCCCAAATATGTACTATGTCCAAAAAGCAGGACAAATCAACTTGATCAATTATCATCACGTCATTATGGTCTAAATCATCAGTAAAGTGATGGAAGCTTTAATCATCGGGAGTGCAGCCTTTTTTTTAGGAATAACCTGCTCGGTGACACTCAGTTTAGGTTCCACTAAGGCTTCTTAACACCTGACAGAAGTTGCTGGAGAAGGTCAACAGGACTGGAACATCGGTGAAGAAAAAATCAGAGTTAACGTTTTGGGTCTGGTGACGCTTCCTCAGAACTGGAAGGTCTGAGGAAGGGTGACCTGACCCAAAACATTAACTCTGACTTTTTTTCTTCATAGATGCGACCAGACCTGCTAAGCTTTTCCAGCAACTTCTGTTTTTGTTCCTGATTTACAGTATCCACGGTCCACGGTGCTTTAGTTTTTCTCATCACTTGACCTCAGTACAGCCTTTGTTCAAATATGGGCAAAAGAGCTAAATTCCAGAGATAAAGTGAGAGTGACTGCCCTTGACATCAAGGCTACATTTGACAGTGTGCCATCAAGGAGACCTAGCAAAACTATAATCAATGGGAATCGGGCAGTGGGCGTGAATTCTCCACTTGTTGGAGTCATACCTGGCACATAGGAAGATGAAAGTGGTTGTTGAAGGTCAGTTATCATGGCTGTAGGACATCTCTGTTGGTGTTCCTCAGAGTAACATCCTTGGCTCAACAATCTTCAGCTGCTTCTTCAATGACCTTCCCTCTATTATAAGGTCAGAAGTGGGGATGTTCGCTGATGCCTGTGCAATGTTCAGCACTATTTGTGGATCCTCAGATATTGAAGCAGTCCATGTTGAAATCCGGCAAGATCTGGACAATATCCAGGCTTGGACTGACAAATGGCAATTAACATAAGTGCCAAGCAATGACCAGTTCTATCAAGAGAAAATCTAATGTTTGCGCCTTGACATTCAATGGCATTATCATCACTGAATCCCCACAATCAGCATCCTGGGGGTTACCATTGACTAGAAACTGAACTGATCTTGCTGTGTGAATAAAATCAAAAGAGAAAATGATTAGGCCATAAGTAGATTATTGTGTCCATTTCTGTTTTCCACACTTCAGAAGTGAGGTGAGGCCCTTGAAAGTGTGCAGAATAGATTTGTGAGAATGATTCATGTTGAAGGACTTTAGTTAGAAAATTATCTTAGAGGTGCTGGTGTTGTCTTTGGAGCAAAGGAAATTGAGGGGAGTGATAGGGTTGTGCAGAACTTATCTTTTGTTTCTTTGCTTCACCACTATCCTTTCCTTTCTTCTGCATTTGCTTAAACCTTGTTACATTTCAAATGTGCTTCATATCTACTGAAAGGTCTTCATCCTGTTTCTGTCTGATCAGTTGAGCATTTTCTGTTTATATTTTTGCAGTTTTCCAGTCTCTGCTGCTTTTTCATTTGGCAACTTCCTCAAACATATTGATCAATCATTATTGATTCCATTCTGACCAGAAATTGTTCCGTTGTTTTTAACCAGGCTCCAGGCGCACCCATTGGGGATATTTTTGCGAAACTGGAGCTTTACATGTGGCTGGGTGTTACAAAATCCATCAAAAACAACTTGAGCAGTCTGCCTCAGGAGTTTGTTCCAGTTTATGAAGAGGGTGCAAGGAGAACAGAAACTTCACTACTGCCACCGATCAAGCTCAACAGTGACTGTAAGGGATTATTCGCAGACTTGTATTCTATCCAAAGCGATGACACCTCCTTTACCAAGTCCTGTACCCCAACTCTTACACCCTACCATATCCCCCAGCTATACACTCTCCCATATCTCCCACCCATGTACCGTCTCATACACCATCCCATATCATTCGCTTGTATACCCTCCTAAACCCTCACCACTACACCGTCCCATATTTCCCACTTATACACCCTTCTGTAAACCCCACACATACACCTTCCCATAGCCTACACTTGTACACCTTCCTGACCCTTATCCATATACTCTCCAATACCCTTCACCCATACACCATCCCATATCCCCCAATTAACCCTCCTATCTGCTCCACCGATACACCCTCCTGTATCCATCACTTGTACATCCTCCTATAATCCCTATTTGTATCCCTCCCATATCCTCCACCCATATACCCTCCCACATCCTCAACCATACATTCTCCTGTATCTCTTACTTGCATACTCTCCCGGTCCTCAGCTGTACACCCTCCCACATTCTCCAACCGTAGTCATGGAGTCATAGAATCACACAGCATGGAAACAGACCCTTTTATCCCACCAGTCCACACCAACCATGTTCCCAAACTAAACTAGTTCCACCTGCCTACACTTGGTCCATATCCATTCAAATGTCTTTTAAACATTGTAACTGTATCTGAATCATCACTTTTTCTGGTAGTTCATTCCACACATGAACTACTCTCCGTGTAAAAAAAAATTGCCCCTCATGTCCTTTTTAACTATTTCTCCACTCACCTTAAAAATATGCCCTCTAGTTTTGAATTCCCCCACCCTAGGAAAAAGACCCTTGTCATTCACTTAACTGTACTCCTCATGATTTTATAAACCTCAATAAGGTCACTCATCAATCACCCACGCTCCAGTGAAAAGTGTCCCAGCGTATCCAATCTATTTTCATAAGCCAAACCTTCCCTTCCTTGCAACATCCTGGTAAATCTTTTCTGAACCCTCTCCAGTTCAATGATATCCTTCCTATAACAGGATAACCAGAACTGCACACAGTGCTCCAGAAGAGGCCTCACCAATGCCCTGTATAACCTCAACATGACATCCCAACTCTTATACTCAAAGGTCTGAGCAGTGAAGGCAAGCATGTTAAAGCCTTCTTAACCATCCTGTCTACCTGTGACACAAGCTTCAAATAATTATTTACCTGAACCCCGAGGTCTTTCTGTTCTACAACTCAACCTATAGTCACTCCTGTATCTCTATGTATACACCCTCCAATATCCCCACCTGTAATCCCTCCTATACCCACCCCCCAACCCCTCCGGCAATCACATCCATTCCATATCCATTAGCTTTAACCTATACTTTTTGTGGGAATTATGTTGTGTCTTAAAACGGTGCTTATTTTCTTTGAGATTTGACATTTATTGGCATATTTTGTATCCAGTCTAAGTACCAAGTATGAACAGCAGCCTCAGTGTGTTCAGTATAACAGCAATCTACAATAGGGAAATCCCATTGCCCACAAAAATGCCTCACAAAAACTCACGATAATGAAACAAAATCACAAGGAGATGTAGCTAAGGGATAATCTACAATTATTTACAGTTCAGGTGTACACTGACATTCTGTAAGTCTTTGAGTTTAACTTCTGGTCAGTGGTTCCTGGTAGACTTTTCTTGAAGTTGTGTGAAACTAGTTGTCAGGCTCTGGAAATATATAAACTATAGAAAATTGTAATGATTGTAACCAGGTCAACCGGCTGGACTTTATAGAATATGAGTTCCCTGATTGGGGCTGTTAATCTGGTCCAATCAGTGAATCCTGACTGACATAAGAGCATGAATATCAAGGATATTGAGCCCCTGAATGCCTGACTCGGTGAGAGGCAGTGCTACTGTCAAAGGCTATACATTTGTAAATAAAAAGTGATTGCCGGGTTGGATGCCAGCCTCTGAAGAGTTATTTCAGTGGTGACAAGACTAAAGCACAATCCTGAAGAAACTTGCTTGCAACAGTTGTTTTGAAGTTGGAGATATGCATTTTCTTATATCGTGCCTATGTTTGGGAAGTTTGACTCATTCAACCCTGCCATTGAGGACTGGATGTGGAAAGAATGCATTATTTTCTCCAGGCAAACAACATTGTAGCAGATGAAAAATGATGAATAATTCTCTTGACAGCATGTGGAACTGCAGCTTTTTCTGTCATTAGGGGCCTAACCTTTTCTGAGGCACCATGCTCTAAAACCTTTCAAGAAATGATTGGCTGACCTCATTCCAATCACTACAGAGGGAGAGGTGGGTAATTGGATTTGGGAGATGGGTGTTGTGGGGGGGTGCCTGTCAAGATAAATTTCTTGTAAAACCCTACAAGATAGGCTGTGCAGAGAATTGGAAGCCAGTCCATAAAGATCCAATGAAGACTACAATCAAGGACCGTTAGCTCATGCCAGTGGAACAGTCCTGCTGTCACACAATGCTATTACTGAGTCTGGAGCCCGACCTATCTGGGGACAGTGCCCCAGCAGCAGGTTAGAAGCCATCAGAGCCTCCTTTTAACTCATGACTACAATCAGTCCTGTAGAAGGATGCCCCTATAATCACTGCAACTTCCTCTTTTGATCATGTTCAGTAGCACCAAAATGGGAGAACATACGTCTTCCTCTGAAGTGGAAGTGCCAGGGTTGGACTGGTTTGGACAAGGTCAAAAATCACGCCACACCAGGTTATAGTCCAACAGGTTTATTTGAAAACACTAGCTTTCCTACCTCTGCTCCTTCCTCAGGTGGAGTGTGGAAGAGGAGTTATACTGACACAGAATTTAGAAGCAGAAATGTAACAACCCTAAAAATGGCTCGTTGACCCCCTCTGTTGAATCTTTTATCAGTTAGAACAGAGATGGGGGTTATATTGATTAAAATGCAAATCCCAGAATTTCCTTCAAGTCATTGGCCCGAGATAATTAAAGGTTTTATCAATGTTACCACACACACATTCTTTCATTCTCTCTCTCACACACACACACACACACACACACACACACACACACACACACACACACACAGAAATCTATGTGGTGAATTATTTCATCCAAGATGTTTGTGTATTTGCAGATACATTCTATTTTGTTTGAATAAAACCCAGCCTGACTGCAGGTTAAAACACAGACAGATTGTAAACAAGGCCTCACACCTAAAATGCA